AAAATAATGGATTACCAGTAGGAATGTTGACAATATTTCCATATATACGTTTTTGCCTTATATAAAGAGCACTAGCTTATTACCCGGCCCGTTGGTCGGATTACTGTATGTTACCCACTTGTGGAATGGGAGAGAAAGCAAGTGAGAGTGAAGGGATTGGGATTCCACTTGATTAGGATCGACCCACTAATCTGATTCTTCCCGACCCGCCCCAACCTAAAGGGTCAGAAAGAGTCAATAAGAAAATACGAACGGAGAGGATTAGTCATATATCTTGACTCTTCAGAAGTGGGTCAAACATGATCAAGGTTGGGTGAGGGCAATTTTTAGCGCTAAGCAGAGTTCTGGGTTGAATAACTTTACTTAGGCCTAGAAATTGGTGCTGATGCAGATTGCAGTTTTTATTATACCATCATCAATCATCATTGAATTAGTCCTGGGCATCCCTTCCCGTTGTCGGTCTGAATTCTAATGATGGCTTCACTCCTTGCACCAGCCATATCAGCGAGTTGTCATCTCGAGCATGATTTGCCTATGTACAAATGATACAATTAGAGTATGAAACTGAATTCAAAGAAAAGGAAAAGAGAATTCTATCACATGCCAATAAATACACACATAATAGTTGAAGCTAAGTGAAAGTCATTACTCGCACATCAATTCTAAAAAATTACAGACTAAACAATGGCTAGAATGGCACTGAAACTACCAAGAATCATGGACGAAACAACTTGTCAAATTAAATAATCCTTACACTGAAACTACCTTCTAACTTGAAATAAGACATTATCACAGTTCATAGCTCTCTTCTCACTATGAATTGGTTGCATCTCGTCCTTATCACTGCCTCCCAAGCTCAATTCAAACAGAATAGAGACTGTTATGTAAGATAACCATATCCTTACTGATCATAATTCCTTTCTTCACTGCATTTTTGTCGGAGAAAAGAGTTATCCCCCTCTCCTGCATTTCCCTTTTCCCCCTCTCTTCTCCCTCTTCTTCACAAACCAATCCCTAAAACAGCAACAACAACACAAAAATAGCATTCGCCTCTGCCATCTCCATCTACTGAACGCGTTGGTGGCAAGACAGGACTGCAGAAGCAAAATTTTCAGATGGTTGGTTTTGATGTTATACGTTGCATTATCCAACTTGTCAAATTAAAGCAACAATTCTAATAGTTCAGATGGTTGGTTTTGATGTTATACGTTGCTTTTGTTCTGGTCTCCAGTATATCAACTACAACAGAGATGTTTCCTCCAATCATCTTTAGTGCACGATTTAGAAGCAAGTCCTCCTGTTTGTGTCAAACGGAAACATTCATGGGTTCTTAACTCCCCTGTTAGTGTAAATGCAGCAGCAGCAAAGAAGTTTGACAACACAGCAAGCACCCAGGCAAAATGATACAATGCAGTAGGTGATATGTGTCTCGAAGGTTTTGAGTTACTAAAGTTCATGTTAAAAATAAACATGAATTAAAATGGATTATTCTATTAAGCAAACATCCCCTCTAATCATAGAAAGATCAAATATCCAATTCACAAACAATTAAGCAATAAAAAATCATCACAGATCCACCACCTTTGATTGCCTAAATTTGGTTTTTCGCAAAGTTATGGACTCTTAAGGGTAACGTTCATGGGTAGTCTGTTTCATAACTCTAGAGAGCACAGTAAACAGCCACCAGCCAGACACAGTGCGGTAGGCGAATATGATTCTCAATTCACAATTTCTCACCACCGGAAGTAAGAACAGACCATAATAAGCGTAGCGTTCTTGGGCGGTCTGTTTCATAGCACTACTACACAATTTGTTAAAAAAGAAAGAAAGGTATTTAGCATCACGACGGAACAACTTTTACAGGCCAACAACGACAAAATGCTGCAACCACCAGAACTGGTATCACAACTCATAGGGAAAATCAAAAGATTTACTCTCAAATTAAGTAGTTACAACATCGAGCAATCGTCAAGCACATACACCATCACAAAAGTCACGGAACCTGATTCGCAAAGCATTCAAACATTTGAGGACATTTCTGCAAAGGTACAACTTATATGTCTTTTTTCCAAGCCATTTCCATTAACATGCTAATAAATTTGCAATGCATAAAACAAACTGGCTAAAACTTGAAATTCAGCCTGTTTGACCGACCCATGCCAAATCCTAATTATTCTTTAATTTTAAACTTTCTATTTGAAAATAAAAATAGTGAAAGAAAAGAGATGACTGCAATTCACCATTTGCACATCACATATTCGCAAATAAAACCATAGAAATTCAAAAGGAACTGAAAATGTTTAGGATCGTTTTAATGTTTAAAATAACCAAATTGATCTTTCTGTTTAGTTTTTTACGAACAAATATCAAACGATTCCCTATAAAATACACTATAATTTGATCATTATGATATCAAATAATTATATAATATATATTTGAAATGATAAAAATTGGACTAATTGGGTTGGTCGAGGTTGAACCATTGAATAACTTTAAAATACATTATATTTTAGCCACTAAGATATAAAATAATAGCATAATAGATATTATGCCAGAGAAAATAGCTTGTTTTAGAATGGCAAACCAATGATGTTCATTTGTTTTACTTGATGGCTAAATCCCGTGTAGGTCAGACCCATTCAACTCTTTTATTTTATGGTTAGCGGTTAGCCATTAGATACCATTCATTAGTTTATTGTTAAATTTTTTATTTTTAACAATAAAAAGGAGTATAATTTTTTCCTTTTCATATATATTTTATCACCACGGAGAAATAAAAGGGCTTAAAGAAAAAAATTGACACTCTTGGACCCATTTAAATCTGCAAGTGTACGGTAAGTTGGCCCGTTCCACAGAGGAAAGATAAAAAAAATTGACACTCCCTATTCTACCCTTCCTACAAACGCTCCTGGAGCAGGGAATTTGAAATGGGGGAAGAGTTATTTCCTCCATGCTATTATATGTTTTTAATTTAAAAAGATACAACAAATCTACTTAGTTTGATTGGTTATGATCCTTGCTTTTCTATAAAATGGTCATGGTTCGAATCCCAGTACGTGTCTTTTTAATGAATAAAAATAAGTTATTGTGAAGACCAAAATGCCCTTCCTGCTTTCACTCTCGTTGTAGGAAATTTGAAACGGGGAAGCTGTTTTCCCCTTCCGCGTATTGTAAGTATAGTAGATAGATGTTTCCTTTTTGCTAATTTGGTCAATGGTTGATCAATTCTCTTCAGATAGAGACTGATTAGAATCCATCACACCTTCTAGTGGTATAAAAATAGTGCATGACATGGACGCACATTAAATTGTAAAATATATATAATTATACTAATAAAAATATTTATACTTGCATACATTTTAAAGAATAAATTGAATCATTATTTGGTTGTTTGGATGGCTCTCCACGTGATGTATTTCTTGGATGCATAAAACTGCACAAAAGTAGCCGAAAAAAATATTTAGAATAAATAATATCAGCAAAAAAGTTGACAATGGCAGACTTCTAACATCAACATGAAAACCTAATTATTTCTCTTTGAAAAACCAATATTTATGATTAAAAAATTCTATAAGTATTTCCTGTTACGCCTCCAGAGTTCATTTCTCTGTTCTCAAATCTATTAATTTCTAAATGAAACCTTATGAGCATTACGTAGTTGATATATTCAAGCTTATTTATTCTCAAATCTGTTAATTTCTAAATGGAACCCTATGAGCACTACGTAGTTGGTAACTTGGTCTATTTTGATACACTTCGAACACAACGTATCTAGTTTAACCCTATCAATCAGAAGCAAGCATCCCTATTTAGGAAGAACCGAACAGTGGGGAAGAAAGCAACAATGGAAGGACAATATAATCTTGGAAAACACACAAGTTGTAGTTAGGGATAGCAATTTCGACCTAACCCGTTTTACCCGTCCTGTTTGACCTTTTGTGTGTGTGTGTGGGGGGGGGGGGGGGGGATAGAATACCCGCCCTATAAGTGGGGCTGGGTGGGCATGGATAGTGTCCTTGACCGGGTCTGCCCTGACCCGCCCCTTCTTTTACTCGTTCTTGCTTAAATCACATGTGATTTTATTCAAACTACTTAGCGTTTTACTTTTATTAGCTAGCTATAATAAAGTTGTAAATAGGTGAGAACCTCAATTTTGCGAATAATTTAACTATATTAATCATGCTAAAGTTTGGAAAAAATGAATATTTTTAAAATTACACATTTAAATTATATACCCATTTGGGTCGTCCTACTCCAACCCACTCTCCATGATACATTATTCAATCTAAATTCAACCTACAAAAAACGAATAAGTGTATCAAGATACCCGTCCCGACTTGCCTTGCTGCTATTCCTACTTGTATTCCTATAAGTATAATATATATAACAATATGTATATACGGTTCTGCATCCTTCATTGAATTGAACCGACAAACGTAAAGCCTAGGGCCACTCTGTAGTCCCTCCTTTTTATGGTCATGTTATTTAAATTTGTGTTTTCACCTTAAGGCCCCTCCAATATCTGTGCATAAGCCAGAAAAATTAGAATTGGTGGGGTTCTCAAGCGGAACCTCATAATTATGGTCTAGATACAACGTGATGCATGCATGCAGTTAGTTGGGTCTACGTCTACGCCCTTGTCTTTTGGTTTTTCTTTCTAATAATTGGTATAACACATTTTAAGGGTGGGTCTAGAGCTGCCTAAGTGTGATGGATCATTTGGATTAGGTGTAAAGGTGAATTTGTTTAATATATTACATATATGAGCCTATATCTTAATATTATTTGTTAGAGTAATCATATGGTGGACAAAATGGTTTTTGTTAGGCCTTTTTCATAGGGAATTCCAATCGATAAAGGTGCAAGAAAAGCAGCAAATTAAACTGAGGCGAAAATATCATTAGAAGATTACTAAATACCTGCTCTTGTTCGAATCGCGTCTGATGCTTTTACCCCAAACAAAATACAAGCATAAGAATCTTAGTCAGGAAACGTGAGCCAATTTAATTACGCATTTATTAACTGACTTGAAACTTCATGGAATGGAGATGTTACAAAGAAGAATACAAAGAGATGAGGAAATGGAAGATAGCAGCACGAGTAATCAAAGTCCAATTTACGATCACCTAATGAGCCCCAAGCTGCGGATGCCCCATGAAGTCTTTGGCCACGACTTCTCTTTAGCCTTCATCACCAAAACCCTACCCCAACCCACCCATCCTTCCCAAGAAACCCTCTTATCCCACGCCGTTCCCCACTCCAGCAGCAGCTTCAGACCCTTCTCCGCCGCCACCTCCGCCGCCTCGAACCGCCCTTTCGCCAAGTAAACCTGCGCCAACACCAGATGCGGATCCCCTAAAAATGGGTTCTTCTCTAGACTCTTGACCAACAACTCCTCCGCTTTGCAATCATTATTCTCTGAGGCATTTCCACAAACAGCTTCCCAATACATGTCCCTGGCTATGATTTGGTCGCCTGCATCCACAATTTTCCTGCATCCGTCGAAAATCGGCGGCACCACGAGTTCGATGTTTTCATCTCGTTCTTTGTCCACCGAAATTCCACCAGACCTTCTTTCCTCCATGAAAATCTCTTCTTCTCGAACTAGTAGGTTGTAGATGGCAGCAATTCTTGAAATTAAGTTAACCCATAGCCCTGGCTTTCCTGCCCCTGGCCATAAAGGGGTGGCACTATTGCCCGAAAAGTCTAGTCTACCGTCCAAATTCTCGTACAGCTCGTCCTGTATATTGTTAAAATCAATATACATGTAAAGTTAATCGAATAACGTATTGACAACTAATTAAACATTATGTATGATATATTTCTTTTTTTTACCAAAGTTTCGTCGTTTCAGCTTAAGTTCTAATTTTAATTTTCTTTTATGGATATGGCTCAGACGATTTTGACTATAATCTTAACGACCATGCAATGGATAATTTGGACATAAACATACTTGAAAGCTGAAGAGCTCGTCAGCAAAATCGGCGAGCGTGAACAACAGCAGAAGCGCCACGATTCTCCGTGGCAGAGTGATTTCTTCTCCAGTCTTTATGTTCTCCACAGTCACCCCGCCTTCCGGCAAAATCGATTCAGCTTCTCCCTCCACGCCTCCGATTTCCCGCCTCCACCGACAACGATCCCCTCCCTCGCATTTCGTAGCGAGAGTTGGGACGCCGCCAGGTGTTCAACGATTTGCCCCGCCGTGTCGTAACCCATCAGGATCCGGCCGAACACCAGCTTCTGCCGCGGAACCGAGCAGAAGAAGTGGACGAGCCGCTCGGCGTCCGGGCCAAGGTGGGCCCGGAGTTGGGCCCGGCTGGACTCGGTGTGCGGGAAGAGCGCGAGGCTGACGTAGGCGTTGGAGTAAGTGGAGTGGAAGAGGCCGCATCGGCAGACGGCTTCAGGGGATCCCCACAGCTTGAGCATTCGATAGGTGCCGTAGAGGTGTTCTACGAAAGTCCCGTGCTTGTGCCAGCACTCCCCCGCTCCCGCCGAGTGGAGCAAGGAGAGCAGTGAAGGCAGTTTGTCGTCGAGGGAGTTGTGTTCTGCGCGCAGGAGCGGGCGAGCTGCGGGTAAGAGGGATTGCAGGCTGATTTCGGATTGAAGGGTGGAAGAGGCAGAGGATAATGCATCGCGAGAAGCTGCGGGCGCCATTTGTGTTTTCTCTCCCTCCGAATCTTTTTTTTTTTTTTTTTCTTGAGACGCGAATTGAAAGGGAAAATGCCGATCGATATATAATAAAATGAAACGTGTGTCTGTGTAGACTGTAGAGACATGCAGCTTGCCATTTGCGAGTCCATAGAAGATGTGGTGGAAAACGTGTCATTATCAATTAGGCACGTATTTTGGGTTTGTTAATAGCTCGGGTTATACGTTATAATTGATGGCCTGGAATGACGAGTGAGATCTTTTGATGTTGCTGGCTGGCCGATCCGAGAATAATTGATAAAAGTGAGGTTTGGGTGCAATGATTTCTGCTTTTCATTGTAGTCTTGCGGCAGAGTTATGTACAGAGTAGGCAGTGCTACAGGACAAACTAACTATAACCAACTTGTCCAATTAAAACGAGACAAGTGGCGTCCTACAACTAGTTACAGCTAATAATAGAATAAATAAACTATTATATACATGTATGTACTAAACGTCGCCGTTTGTGATCAGCAGCTCCTTTCCTTTTTGTAATCGAGCTTTCCCTCCTTGCTCAGTCGACCGTTGTTGATCACTGGACTCTTCTTCGTCTTCTTCATCTTATTCCTTCTCTTCTCCTCTGCTCATGGAGCTTGACAGGCCCCCACAAGCTGGCGAGTATATGTCGTATACTCCCAGTTTGAAGACGATCCATTTGAAGCGGTGCGCGCTGAGTGCCTTCGTGAATACATCTGCCAAGTTTCGGTCAGTACAAACATATTTCAAATTAATCAATCCTGACTTCACTCTTTCTCTAATGATGTGGCAATCGATTTCTATGTGTTTTGTCCTTTCGTGAAACACTGGGTTTTCCGCCATATGAATTGTCGATTTGTTGTCGCAGAATGCAATTGCTGGCCCATTGTAATTCACTCTCAAATCCTTCAGCACCTGGGTAACCCACTGAATTTCACATAACATTTGCGCTAAGGATCTGTACTCTGCCTCCGAAGAGGACTTTGAGACTATTGCCTGCTTCTTCGCCTTCCAGGTAATCAGTGAACTACCCAGAAATGTGCAATAGCCCGTGATTGATCTCCTTGTGTCAGGGCAAGCCCCCCAGTCTGAATCACTATAGCCAGTAAGGCTAAAATCTGTGGTTGATGAAAAGAACAGACCCTGACCTGGGGAGCCCTTTAAGTATCTCAGTATTCTGTGTGCCGCTTTCACATGTGAGATCTTTGGTTGAGCTTGAAATTGGCATAATTGCTGAACAGCAAAGGATATGTCTGGTCTTGTTGTTGTCAGGTAGCCCAGCCTTCCAATCAGTGATTTGTATTGGTGTGGATCTGCTTGTGGTTCATCACTAAACTGTGTTAGTCTAGTCTTCATGTCTGATGGAGTTCCGCATGGTTTCCCATTTAGAAACCCTGTATCTTTAAGTAGATCTAGTAAGTATTTTCTTTGAGTCACAAAAATTCCAGAACTGCTTCTAGCCACTTCCAATCCAAGGAAGTATTTCAACTTCCCGAGGTCTCTTACTTTGAACTGCTTAGATAGAAAGTCCTTGGATTCCTGAATGAGTTCTTCATTGTCTCCAGAGAAAATCAGATCATCTACATACACTAGGATAACAGCAATCCCTTTATCATTCTTCTTTGTGAAAAGTGAATAGTCAGAATAGGATTGAGTATAACCAAAGCTCACTAGTGCTTCTGTTAGCTTGGCATACCACTGCTTGCTTGCTTGCTTCAACCCATAAAGGGATTTTCTTAGCCTGCAAGCTTTCCCTTCCATTCCTTCGATTCCCAATGGTATTTTCATGTAGACTTCTTCCTCTAAGTCTCCATTTAGAAAAGCATTGATGATATCCATCTGGCTTAAGTGCAAATTCTTGACAGCTACCACTGCCATGAGGATTTTGATGGTATTGATCTTTGCTACTGGTGAGAAGGTGTCCAGGAAATCCACTCCTGGTATTTGAGTGAACCCTTGTGCCATGACTCTTGCCTTATACCTCTCAATTGCGCCATCTGCCAGTAGCTTAGTCTTGAAAATCCACTTGTTACCAATTAGTTTCTTTCCAACTGGACAATCTACTATGTCCCATGTGTGATTGGCTATCAGTGCCCTCAATTCTTCCTTCACTGCTTCTCTCCAACATTCTTTCATCATGGCTTCATCAAAGGTCTGTGGATCATGTAGATTAGCTACTGCAAGTGAGTAATGTTTGTATTCCTGACTGAGTTGATTGTATTCCATGAAGGATGATATTGGATACTTGGTTTGAGAATTTCCAACAAAATAATCCTGATGCAATAATGGTGGTTTACTTGTCCTGCCAGATTTCCTCAAGGGAGTATATGGTTTTCTTGAGGAAATAGGTGCTTGAGGCGATTGAGTTACTGTGTCTATCCCCCCTTCTCCTTCTGCTTCCTCTTCATTCTGAAGCTCAGCATGGTTTTCATCCATGATTTCAAAATTAATGAAATCTGGTGACTGTGCATCATTAGGGGCTGTGTGAACAGCTGAATCAAGACCTGTATGCAAATGATCATGTGCTGGGTTTTGGGAAAAAGGCTGAGGTGAGAAGAATGAAGGGACAGGAGGAGGAATGGTGTTGGCTGATGAAGGTTTAGAGGTGTTAGGAGGCACAGTGGATGCAAAAAGAAAGATAGGTTCATGGAAAGATACATCTCTGGAAGCAAAAACTTGCTTAGTTGAGAGATCATATATTTTGTATCCTTTGATTCCTGGCAGTATGCCAAGGAATATCCCTTTTCTAGCTCTTGGTTGAAATTTAGTCCTTCCTGATTCTATGGTAGAAGCATAGCATAGTGAGCCAAAGACTCGAAGTGGTGTGTAATCTGGTGGTTTGTTATAGAGCTTCTCAAAAGGAGTTTTGTTGTTGAGGATAGGTGTGGGAAGTCTGTTGAGGATATGAACAGCATAGAGTATGCAATCACTCCAAAAAGACAAAGGCACATTAGATTGAAATCTTAAGGCTCTTGCTATGTTTAAAATGTCCTGATGCTTCCTTTCTACTCTTCCATTTTGTTGTTGTCTTTCGAGACAGGACATTTGGTGAGTGATTCCATGTTCTCTAAAGAAATCTGCCATGAGGAATTCCTTTCCTTGGTCAGATCGAGTGGTTTTGACTGGTTTATCAAACTGTTTGTGCACCATTGTGCAGAATTGTTGCAAGAGAGGTCTTGCCTCTGATTTAGTTTTCATGAGGTACGTCCAAACTGCTCTAGAGAAGTCATCTACAATGGTCAAAAAGTAGGAAAAACCATCATAGGAAGTAGTGTTTAAAGGGCCCCAGATGTCACAATGTATGATCTCAAAAGGTTCTTTGCTAGTATGAGAACTAGAAGAGAAAGGCAGCTTCTTTTGTCTAGCTAAATGACATGTCTCACAATGATCAACAAGATTCACTGGCAATTCAGGATTACATTTTTGAAGTAATTTGGTTCTGGAATTGGAAAGATGCCCTAATCTAGCATGCCACAAGTGCATGTCTTGATTCTCAGAGTTGCTCACTGCTGCTACTAAGTTGATGGCTGGTTCAAGGTTGTGAATGGCTGAGTGTAGGTGATATAGTCCTCTAAGCTCTTTTGCAAAACCAATCCTCTTCTGTGTATGAAGGTCCTGAACAACACAGAAGTCAGATTGAAAGCTTAGGGTAATAGGTAGAGTTTTGGTTAGGGAACTGACAGAAATGAGATTGAAAGTGAAACTGGGGACATGTAGGACATTGTTTAGGGTCAGGTTATCATTGATTCTAACTGTTCCAATGTGTGCTACCTTGATCCTAGCACTGGTTGGTAAGGTAACAAACACATTTTCTACAGGGTAGTGGCTGGTGAAAAAGGTAAGGCTACAGCACATGTGATCAAATGCACCAGTATCAATAATCCAACTATTCAACAACTCCTTCTGTTGACAGGCAGTAAAAGTAGATAGGATGAATTTACCTGCATTGTCTGGCATCTGATTAATGTGTCTTGAAACTGAGTGGGCTTGAGGTTGAATGTTTGGTTGATTTGTTGCTTGACTTCCAGTGTTTTGTTGATGTAACAGCATCATCAGTCTGCTGCAATCTTCAGCTGTTAGCTGAAATGTGGTAGTATTCTGACTTCTGTTGTCCTGCTCATTTGCTGCTGAGAAGCTATTGATTCCCTGATCATGATTACCACCTGATGTGGCTGCTCCAGCAAAGTTTGGTCCTGCCAACTCTCCTCTTTTTCTCTTGAGTCTCCAGCAGTCTGCCATGACATGGTTAGTCCTTTTATAGTAGTTGCAAAGCAGGTTTTGTTGGCCACCTCCACCTGTTTCATTGGTTCCTCTCTGTTGATTGTTAGGGTAGTTCCCTTGGTAGGTGTTCTGTCTTCCACCTCTTGGATACTCAGCTCTTTGGTCTCTATTTCTTCCTTGATTTGCAGCTGCCAATGCTACTGAATCCACTCCTGCTGCTTCTTTGGGTGGTTGTTTTGTCATTTGTCTTTCCAATTTAAGAGCATACTTGTATGCCACCTTGAGACTTGGAGCTGGATCCATCATCAGAAGCTGGTTCTTGGTCATTTCAAAGGCATCACTCAGGCCCATGATGAAGTCGATAGTGTGATCTTGCTCCTGAGATTCTTTGACAGCAACATATGTCACACAATTCATGGTATGAGGTGTATCACCACATTCACATGGTGGAATGGACTTGAATGACATATATTCTGTCCAGAATACACCAAGTCTGTTATAGTACTCAGTCACGGTACTCTTCTCCTGTTTGCAAGATGCAATCAGCCCTTTAACATGAGCTAGTCTAACTGAATCTGCTTCTCCATATCTTTCTTGCAGATCTTTCCATATGTCCTGAGCAGTCTCATTATCCATCACAGCTTCAGCTATGGGATCAATCAATGAATTCAAAATCCAACCTATTACGTTGGTGTTACTCTGATCCCAGATTTCATAATCTGGATCTGTTGGTTCAGGCATAGGTAAGGTGCCATTAACAAACCCAAGTTTCTTCTTGGTCTTAAGTGCTATTCGCATCGATCTACTCCATACATGA